TATGGAAATCCGGTTTGGGTGAGCCAGTTACAGTGTGGCAAAACTTTGAATGTGTGAGGTCACTATAGGTATGAACCGCTGTTTAGGCGAGAGAGAGAGCAAGCGGGAGCATGGAACTGAGGCTGTTCAAAGGATCGGTTCCGATGGTTCGTAGACGTTGACTTGGCTTCCCTTCGCCGTTCTTACTGCGAACCGAATATGTAATACCAGTTTAGCTCCGCAGCAACCGCGCGCATGACCGAAGGCCTCGGTGAAACTGGGCCCCGGAGCGTTAGGTTCTTTTTTAGGTTACAATCGGTAACTTCTGCGTATCCTACCTATTCAAATGTCGAAAACATGGCTGGCGAATGCTATGCGATGGCTTTTTAAAGCTCCTTCATTTGTTTTACATGTTACTGAGTTGAATGATTAATTCAGACTGAGGATCGAGAATCATTGAAGGACAGTGGAACCGTTAGTGAGGATGAGGGTGGGTCCGTCGTCCTCGTTGGATTGTTTCGTTTGTTTCCCATTTTTTGGTTTTAGATGATTTTCTACCGATGCTTCCTCCCGGCTTCGTACCTGACAAGAGTGTCATCGTGGGTTCATCAGAGTCTCAGAATAAAGGAGGAGGCAGTGACGATGATGAGGATTTTGTCGATTATAATAGTGATGGTGTGAGTTTTTCGTCTACATTGCTATGTGCTCACGAGTATGATGATTGTTTAAGATTCCTATTGTCAACCTTATTCCAACAGCATGTGAAGCGAAGCTAGTCCATAGTGGGAAGCCAGTGAGTCTTTATTTATAGACATGTTCCTTAGCGCTTTTCATGTGTATATCCTCACCCTCTTTGTGGTAACGCCAGTACTGCTTCGACTCAAAAAGCTTGGTCTCTCTGAAAGTCTGATTCATTTAGGTGTCAGCTCTACGATTTGAACCTAATGGTATACGCTTTGCCTCAGGCGGTGTTGACTTTCAAGTAAAGGTGTTCGACTTTCAAAAAATGGACATGAGTTTACGTTCTGATAAGGACCTCATGCCTTGTGAAAGGTAACATCTTCACTTAGCATAGTTTTACGCTTCCCTTTCATGCAAATTGCTCTTGAATTTCCTGCTACAATAATCGTGTCTTTGCCTGATCCTTCATTCTCTTTAGCCACATTATCAACGACATCGCCTTCAGCGCAAACGGCGAGTCGATGCTAGTTTGTAGCAGCAAAGCGCAAGTGCATCTTATTGATAGAAGTGGTAAACAATGGGCTGAGACAGTGCGAGGTAGGTGTTATTGATTTCATTTACTTCATTGATAGGCTGATAGCGTTTGGTAAGAAAGAGGAGGAATCATTTGTCCCATTTCCAATCCTCTCCTGAATAGAAGAGAATTTTTTGCGGGCTCGTGAGAAGGAAGGGATTGTGGTGGATCTGAGTCACCGTACATAGTCTGACCATGGACCTGAAGTTCTCTTGCAATCCGCTTGCGCGCAAAGTCAGCCACTCCTTCGTGAACGTCAAAGCAGACTGTAAGCAAGTCGTATGCTATAAACGTCGCTCATTTGTGCGAAGGGAGGGTGTGGAAGTCGCTGTGGCCATTCATTCCATTGATCAAATTATCATATTCGTTCTTATCAATTTTTGTGATATATAAGTTTTCAATTATTTGCATTCCTTTGAAGGAGAATGCTAGTACTTGTTGTGATGTCAGATTTACACACCCGAAAGGGCACACAGCGCCATTTAAATACTGCTGTCTCAATTCAAGTTGCCAGGATGGATTCCAGGGATGAGTTTATGGACCGGTTGCGATGATTGCATCGGGTGGATGTGTTCTTTTATGCCATGGTAGTTAAGTTATCTGCGTCGAGGATTGACGTTGTTGTAGAGACTAATTCCGGATGTTGTGGTTTGGCAGATTACGAAGTCAGTGACGAAAGCGAGTGAAAGCACTCACCGGCAAGGTATATGTATGTGGACTTTCTAGTCCCGCGTAGGTTTGCATTTCCCGTCACATCACGAGTTATTACACCATTTTCATAGGTCATAAACCAAAATCTGCTGGGTGGAGAAAAGAGCTATGCCACAGGTTCTTGTTGCAGTGGCCATTCTTTGGATGGGTAAGCTGTATCGTTGCGCTGGTGACGGAATTGTTCTGATACACATGGGAGAGTACGGGAATCATTGGTACGCTGGATACTCTAATTTCTGTGCTGTAGAGCTTTGAATCCTATATTCCTGAATTCTAAACCCTTATCTCTCTATAATCTTAAATATAATCCCTCGTATTTTTTTCTACTTTTTCTTTCATGAATCCTCTAACTTTATACGTTCTTGTCTTTTTCTGTGCTCTTTATGAAGACTCTTTTGCAGGTGAACACTTGCTACCTTGTGCGAAATGCACACAAAGGTCCAATCACCTCTATTGCGTTTGCACCAGATTCTCAGAAAGTGCTCACGAGGGGGTTGGATGACGCCATGAGGATGTGGTCCATCAAAGACAACAAGAAGCCTATTCTTGAACTGACTGATTTGGAAAATGCATTCAGAAGGTATTGCTCTGAAAATTAGCGCACTCTAGTTTGTGCGGGTGTTCGTAATGTGGTAGCAATATCGGAACTCAACATTTGCTTCTATTTTCTGATCACTTTGTAGCACCGATTGCGGTTTTTCTCCTCGTGGGGAACTGGTGTACACTGGCACGTCGTCGCCTGGCGAAGATATGCCTGGCAAACTGCTTTTCTACACCGCGGATACTTTCGACCTTGTGTACAAGATAGAGTATCCTGGAATTGTAAGTGTGGTGTTCTACTGATATCATTTACCATCTGAAAATTACTCTTCACATAGATGTCTCTCTTTGTCAAAATTTGTTCTTTTAGAGCTGCACGAAAATTGATTGGCATCCTAAATTAAACCAGATTTTGGTGGGTCTCAGCGATGGAACGATAAGGTTTGTGTAATTTTTTTATCTTTTCCTCTCATAAGGTGCAGAGCGTTATAGAACATGTTTGATTTTAGGATATACTATGACCAGAAATTATCCGCTCGAGGGGTTATGGGATGTATCACTAGACCAGTTCGAAGAAATCGCACGAGCGAGTTCGTTCGTGAGGAGATGATACTATCGCGTGAGTTGGACTAAGTTTGCCTTCGCTCGAATCTGAATATATCCGGCATGAAATCAAATACATTTGGATGCTAGGTATCGTAAATTTTACAGTGTTTTCTTTCAGCGCTTACTTTGGAGATGTTCCAACCACGTGGAGAAGAGGGTGAGGAAAAAGAGGTAACAGGCTTCCGACTGAAGAAGTATCTACGTATGCGAGACAATCAGCAACGTCCACAATTCCGCAAGCCAGCAGATGTTCCTATTGGAAGAAGTGCCAATGGAAGAGGTGACTGTCTTTCCTCAATTTTATATACTGAACCCTTCCGGTGTGTTGTTTTGAGGACTTTGCCTAGCGGTTTCAGTTTTATCCCAAACAATTTTGAAACTCGCCAAAAGAATGTATTGTTCTCTAGTTTCAGCTTTGGATCAATGCAAAAACATGAGCTTGTTGCCTTACTATAAAATTTTTCATGAATCTTCACGTTTAATTTACTTCCGCTCAGTTGTATTTTGTATATTTTCAGTTGTTGCAAGTGGCGGCAGTTTGCATTCGTATGTGGCTCAGCAAATGGGAACAATGAAAAATAAAACGTTCTTGGAGGATACTGATGTGAGGACAAGCATTCTACGTCATGCAGAAGAGGTTTGTTCTTTCTCTTAGAAATTTTCACTTTCTTTTTCCAGTGGGCAAAGTTACTAGGCTTTTATAGATTAGATGCTCATATCTATCTCAGTAAATGCTTTTCAGGCTGCTAGGAACCCTATAGCTACGATAGGTTTGGCTTACCCTAAACACAACGAAGCATATTTTCAAGAAAAGGACTACTGGCGCAAGGGAACATGACCACGATACGAGTTCACAACCAGTGATTGAAGATGCCTCGGCCTCAAATGATCTCTTTTCATGCAATAACAATATATGTGATGCTCTATGTTCTGATGCTTTTATGTGTTTACTGGTTTCAAATTTTATCGGCTCCCAATTTGTCCACTCTCTTAAAGGTTGGGGCCCTTAGTTTTGGTGAAGTCTAAGAGATATGGGATTGAATTAATCCACAGTCATGAAGGCCCTAGTGGGTCACGTCTTGTGTATTACCATCTTATCCCGAGAGCGTACACGCATCACGTTCAACTTTTGCTATAAATCACAGTGGAATGCTCACACACGCTTGTCCCCAGCATTATGTTCTCAAATAGAAACAGTTGAAATATCGCGAATGATGCAAGGAAGGCAGCTCTAACATCCAAAGCATTCCATTGTGGGCAAGAATGCAATATCTCCGATCACCTATAGCTTACTCAGGTCTATTTCCAGTCTAGGCGGGGGGGCATCAATGATAGCAGTTTCCTTCGCGCACTCAGGATGTAAACTAAGCATTTAGCTAGCTTCCCACGCATGTCACGTCGACTTGCCTCACTCGCCATCACCTCGTTAGCTGATACCACTCTTACTCTTGGGCTGTCAGAAGTGGACCGTAGCTTTTGCGGAGTCACCACGCACCATAGAAGGTGAAGCTCTCGTCCCCCATAACAGTGAAATAAAATCCCTACTCGCTTGATTCCATATCGAATTCATTTGATTTGCTCTTAGCATGTAGCGCCTTCGAGTATGTATGAAGAGGGACTCGGTATTTAACAAGAGTATAATTCCTGTTGCTTTTCATGATTTACATCGATTGGGGTGTCATCGATTATCAGTGCAATAATCTACTCCTTATGTAGACGAAAGTTCGGGATATCTATAGAATGTGTCGGGTTTGTCAGTCCATGTCTTTACGAGCTTCATTCATTTGTAGTAATGAATATGTGCCAGCAATGTTGTTCGCTTAAAACGGACTGCAGTATATCGAGTTAACATTAAAGCTGAATTGGCAGCATGAGCGCCCACCCGCGTGGACCGCTTTACAGAAACTATAGAAAGGTGAACTAAAATACCCGTAAAATCAAACTAAAAATTTCGTTCACTTACTCTTATGACTTATGATTTTATACTTTTCAGTGATAGCTCCAAGTTTTGAAAATATCCAGCGCTCTCGGGTGGCAGCGGGGGGGGGGTGGAATTGCCCATAGGCAACTGTCTCTATGAAATATGCGCTGGCGGATCCGTTGTCTGCTCGAAATTTAGCTTAACACTTTTGTTATTCAGTAGCAGTTTAATGTACGGACTTAAATCTAAATAAACGATTCAAATACTGGCAACGCTGCCAGTCGGAACACGATAATAAGCGACGTAGGAACAGTGACTCTGACACTCCGTTTTTGGCTCGAAGTGAACGATTCGAACAAAGCATGAGCTCACGCCAAGATCGCCCTGTCATCTTACTGAGAACGAATTGAACTAGCAGTGTACTGAACTGTAAGCTACTAATAGGCACAACCAGTGACGCCCCTCAGCCAAATCTGCGTATCGACTTATGACTACTGCTGACAGAACCGTGCTGCTGGAAGGAAATTATTCGGCACTATTCAACTATTACAACCCCAAAATCTCAAAATTTTATTTTTCGTCGAAACTTTGTCTATAGGGGTAATTCGGTGCCCTGATTACGAAAATGACATTCATTTTCAACGGGGGCGCCATCTGGCGCCAGGTGGCGTCACCTTGTCACGACAGTTGTTTTCACCAAACTCGATGTAAACTTCTGGGTAGGGGTAATTTGGTGTCCAGATTACGAATATGACATTCATTCTTGGCGCTAGCTCCATTTAGCGCTTTAATCTCTTCGTCTGCGCCCTCCTAGTGACTAGATCGCGATCAGGACTAAGCTTTAGGAGAGAGGAAAGATATCAGTGAGTGAGCCCCCTACCCTGTGATCTCACACGCTCCATCTTCGTCACACGGTGCCTGATTCACTCATTCCGAGTCTCCCTATCCCCTAAGCTTAGTCCCAAGGCGCTATGTATAGGTGAGAGAGCCCAGAAAAGCGGGAAGTATGCGGTAAACAGCGGTAATGTCAAAAACGAATGTCATATTCGTAATCAGGACATCAAATAACCCCTATACAGAACTTTACACCGAATTTGGTGAAAACATGTGTCGTGACAAGGTGGCGCCAACTGGCGCCAGATGGCGCCACCGCCAAAAATGAATGTCATTTTCGTAATCAGGGCACCGAATTACCCCTATAGAGGAAGTTTCGACGAAAAATAAAATTTTGAGATTTTGGGGTTGTAATAGTTGAATAGTGCCAAATTATGTGTTAATCTTGAACTTTTACATTATAGAAAGGCGACTACAATTTGTACTAGATATAAGCTTCTTAGCACAAAAAAAACATCTGGTCCACCTCTTCGACAGCTTCTGCTTTGTTAGCTTTCTCAACTTAAGCCTCAGAATCTCGGACTCTGCGCGTTCAGGACGAGGATAATTCATACTACGCGCGGTGCAGAGCGATGTTTAAAGTTTCTCATAGAACAATAATAAATGATTAGCGATGCTGCCGTTTTGGACGAATCCAATATCAGGCGGGCTGGGCACGGCATGCAACATTTTGATGACCATTGTACAAAGAAAGGCGTTTAGGCGGGTGTCACGATCCTTCGCGCGGTCCGCGCGAATCGCGCGACGCACAACAGAAATCACAAGTGCCTCGATAAGTACTGCGAGGTGCTCTCCAATCTCATGACTACTTGTTTCATACTCAGTGTTTCAAATGTCCAAATGAGACACTTGTGATTTTTGCGAATCGCGCGACGGATCGCGGACTCTGACACCAGCTTACTGTCCGGTACCTCAGCACGTCAAACCAACACCGTAACGCCTGTCGATCCGACGGTTGGACTTTTTAACGAAAGCTTCACATGAAAGAAATGAATTAGCACGCGGCTTTGAATGAGGAGAATCCTCTGGAGTACTTTAGCATGCGACAGGGACGAAATGATGGCGCCCACTCAAAGAATTTAATGGGTGACCACTGGTGTTGAGGCGCTTGCTGTTTCCATACTGCAACTGTGTGTTCTATAATCTATACGGAAATGGCAGCCGTGCTTGCGGTAAAAATTGAATGGGACGAGGTGAAGAATATCTTGTTACCGGCTTACCGTACAATGGTGCAATATGGTTTTCCCCAGGATCGACCCCGTGTCAAATTTTCAAGGGAATGGATATTAGTGTTGAAGTTCACCACAGCAACTGGCCCCATGGTTACAAACTGGTCTGGTCGCGGTCATTGGAGTTTTACGTATCACCCTTCGTTACTTGATCCACTTAAAATTCTGAAATGGTTTCAATCGTACCTGCCAGTTCAGTTCGTTTATACGATAATTTTGCA